AATCCGTCAATAATTTTTCGAGAATTGATCAAAAACGTAGAGCATCGAAATAAACTTTCATTTATTGAGTTTTTAACCCAGTCAATCATCGATCATCAGTCAAAGTTGAAATTGACTATGCGTTTCGGTAATGATAAATTTTTTTGATTGATTAATAATTACAATTTCATTTTTCAAAATTGATTTAATAAATTTTCCAAAATTGACATTATTTATTGATTGACATTAATGTACCGATCATGCCGAAATCACAATCGAATCGGCGTCAATTTTTATCAGGTGTTTAAGGAATTATGAAAGTAGCAGTAATTTGAGCCACCTCCGAAGTAGGGCTAGTGCAAATTTGTAATTGCAGAATCTGCGCATAAACCTGACATTTATTGCATTGAAGATGCGATTGCATATTTTGTATATCAGGGCTGACTTTGCATGCATAATCTGCGCACAAAATCTAAAAAAAGAGCTTGTAATAGATTAGAGTGAAATCTGTGTTAAATTCTAGTAAAATCCGCTTTGATCGTCAGGGTGTTAACATTGATTTCACTTTACTATTGCGTGATTTTTGTGTGGATTTAGCTGGAATCTATTGCAGGTTTCACCCTAATGTATTGTGGTTTTTCTCATAATTAAAGAACTAAGCCTTTAGTCAACATGTTTTAAAACTATATGCTAACCAAAAATAAGAAATAGACGCGTAAAAATTTGAGATAAAAAAAAAATTCGTACTGTATAAAATACTTATCTGATATCTACATCTAATAAGCCTGAACAGTTATTTTGGGGTCAGTTGCCGCAGAAGATGAGATGCCTTATTCCAGTACAATATTAGTCATATAACAATTTATCATGTGACTAAAAGCCCGCGGGTCGGCCCGTTCCGAGCCTTAAAAACAATATATATGATAGAATTGTCCTCTGGCGCAAAAACATAATCAAATTTAGTCAATGAAAGTAGCTTTTGTCTTTTTAATGTATAAAATACACTACTTTTTCCATTAACTCGATCGAATTTTGAAAAGCGTTAGCATTTTTATTTGTAGATTGCTTAATAATGGAATTTTCGGCATAAAAAATTGAAATATTTCGCTTATTAAGAGAAAAAAAGTAAAATATTACCAGTTACTCATGCGTACGTTCTAACAGGTAGTGAAAAATTGTTTAAAAAAATAGAATAAAATAAATAAAAAAGTCTGTGTGCCATCCGGGGTGGTAATACCACTCCGTCTAAATTAAATAGTAATTTGATGACGCACATCACCTGAGGGTTAGGGTCAGTTAGTCAATTTAGTAAAAATAAAGAAAAAATGTAAATTGTTGTGCATGATCTTTTTATTTAAAATACGTTATTTTTTTAAACTACAATTTCTGACGTGATGATCTACGCTATTCTTGATCAGAATTATGATATAATGATCTACATATCTTGATTACGGTACTATGACATCATGACATCATGACATACAGTAATGATCTACAGTCACAAATTTGGATGATGCAGACAGTGACAAAATTAAAATTATTATTTGATGTGATGTGTGCGGTTCTGTGGATACTCGGCCATATTATGTGCGACTCTATGGTAAACATGGTCGAATTATTTGACGGAACTTTTCGGATTTCGTTTCGAAAATTTTAACCTTGCTCGTAATTACGTGCCAATTCTTGTAAATTACTACATTACGTGATATTCTGCGGTGACATAACTATGTGATATAGGCATATTTATGTGAATTCAACACATAAAATCACGCAGATCGCTACTTCCATTTAAGTCTATTCTATACTAATCTATGGGGCTACATTTACGCCCAACCATCGTTTGTTTTCTGATTTGGTAAACAGCCACCTTATAAAGCCCCTGGGACCATGGAGGATCCCGTATCTATAAGACCATTTATATTAATATATAAATCGATTCTAGAGTATTCTATGTTGTAAGTCGATTTCCATATTTAGATTTTTTGTTAAACGCAAAAATACTATTCTTAATGGATCGGCGAGTGTTGGCAAATGACAATATCATAATGTCATGATATGTTTGCATTATATAGAATCATATAATGTCATATTATTATTGTGATATGATGATTCATATAAGCATATGAGCCATACGACATCATTGTCCAAGGTAAACCGAATTAGCCACTATAACGAAAAATTTTTCTTTTATAGTTAGGTACCTCAATATACCGAAACCTTGATCCAAACACCTCAGCTTCAGAGCTTCGTTATATTGAGGTTAGACTGTATTATAAAAAAAAAAAAATTAGGATAGGGTTCAATTTTAGAACCACGGTACCCAAATAAATTTTTTTTTTTAATTCCATCAGGATCGGTACTGCCGATCAATCAGGAATGGTACACCATGTGTGATTGATATAATTCATTCGGGCGCATTTTTGGAATTGGGTCAAATTTAAAAACCCCGAATTACTATTTAATTATTACATGATATATACGTCGACTATATGACCAAAAACAATAAAACTAATATTAATTATCACGTCAAACCCATCTTCCCACCTTAAAACCCATCTCCTTTTACTGTTAAAAGTCATCTCTTTTACATTAAAATTCATCTCTTATTATAAATATACTTATAGTCAAATGATTTTCCTCACGTTAAATGTCTATCATAACTGCGTCATAAATTTAGGGTAGTGTAAAAATGTGTTGCTGCAATGTTGGTCGGTGACAATGTCATGTCATGTGATTTTTCATATAATATATTATTGCAATTGGAAAATGTGTACCAGGTTGTGGCGCAGACAAAATTCTTAAAATTCGTTAAGGTTAGGGTTAGGGTCAGGGTTAAGAACTAGAGGGGAGTAGTTTTAATAGTAAAATTGTCCAACAAAAACTTTTTGTTAGAGCACAAAAGGTGGTTTCTTATGCCGACTTTTGAGTTATGAGCGATTTTTGGCAGAACGAACGTTTGTTTTGAATCTTCTTGATAATGTTACGTTACACCTAATCTTGAAAGCTGATTCGTAGATCAGAAGGATTACGTCACCATCCTGGTACACATTTTCCGACTGCTATATTATTAATATATGACGTATAATACATCATCGTCCAACACTGGTATTCTGTGTAACAAATAATGCAGATCGATCTTTTAAAATACTATTTATGCATGCACGTGATTCAAAAAATCATGTGATTTTTAAATTTCACTAAGCGTTAGACGGTAGTTTTCACAAGCCTGCATTCTAATAGTTCTAGTAATCAAGAGATGGTAGACAAGTCCGATTCTTGCGCTAGAAATACAAAAACCCAACTATTCAACCAATAAGAGCTCTCGATGATTCACGGATTAAAATGAAATAGTGTAAAATAGATAAGCCTCCGAAAAATACAAATTTTTGGGGTGCATTTTTTTTTTTTTTTTTTTTTGAGTTGGAGATCAGTTTTAGCGGTAGGGTTTATAAATAAATATGTATAAGCGAGATTTAGATTAAATAAAAACTCATTTCATTTTAGTTATTTTCGTGTCTACCCCAACTCTTTAACCCCCCTTTATAGTAGACCCCCACGTGATTTTCTAAATAATAGGGTGAAATGTAAGAGACCCCAGGTGGTTTATGCGGTATTTCTGTATTACGTAATGTTTACGTAATGTCATGTAACGTCATAATCAAAGTTTTGCACGTGAAACACGTGATACGCAATTATTATTTCGTGTTCCCAAATTCATGCCCCTAATTATTTCAAGATAATCACGTGATATTTTGGGACATGAAATTATTAAATTATTAGGTGATTATGGGGCACGAAAATAATTTTTGTTATTATCTCTCGGATTTATCGTTATCTGGTTATGATTCCATTAACTGACCCAACTATGAGTGACACAAATTTGCTTGACTTCAATAAATGCGTATTATACCCAAAATCAATACAACCAAGTTCTATATATAAACCATTATAACTAGCAATCACGTATTAAAATAATTAAAGTACTATGTATAAAAAAAAATGAAATAAATAGATGTTCACAGAATGGACCAAAAAAAAAACGAAAAAACTCTTTAAATAACACTAGATATATATACAGTATACCCAAATAAAACAATTTTTTTTCATAATACTATAGAGATATATACATATTTAGAGGTACAAGAGGTGTTGACAAACTTGAAAAAATGAAACTTTATCCTAAAAATTTTGTCGAGAATTAGGAGTGTTTTTTCTCTGTAATTTTTTAAGATAAACCTTTTTGAAGGATTTTTTTGTTTTACTATATTGCAAGACCAAGCCCAAGCCATGGTACGGGTATATGTATAGTACGTAGTGTACCACTCGAACTAAGCCATATACCGTTATATGCTGTTCCAAACCGATACACTCTAGATTTTAATGTATTAGTATGATTTTTATTTATTTAAAATTCTTTTTCAACTTATAATAATACGAATCGATTATATCGTCAAAGATTCCAATTTTTTTATTACGCAAGATTGGTTGAGCGATTTCCTTTTTTGTAAAAATATGCAATGTAGCGGCTCACAAAAATTTATATTAAGAACTTTATAAGGTGTGATTCACGTTTTTAAAATCAGTATGCAGAAGTTTGAATTTTTAATGATTAAAGTCTATCATAATTTTTATCCGTTAAACATTTTCCTTTGATTATAAGCTTTCTCTATAAAATTTATATTCAAAGACTCATGGGCAAGAAATTTAAATTTTTTTTTTCCTCATAATCATTTGTCAGATGAAATAATCGCAAAGCTAACAAAAAAAAAAGATTTTTTTTTTTTTTTAAAAAAAAAAAAAAAATTTACTAGCATAATAATATAATTTCCAGTGATATAGATAGTTGACGATTTTAAAAATGCACATGGATTTGTTTCAATTGATGGGGATTAAAAAAATATTTATCAACTTAATTATGATGAAAATTGCGTTAAGAATCATGATCATTTTTTAAAATCGAAAATCTTGCCTGGAAGAGAATAGCATAATTTTACCAATTCATGAACGTTCATATTACTACAATGTTGGAAGTGGATATCAGTGATTGCAAACCTTTCAAGATTGGATTTTTAGTACTTAAAACGAATGATGAAGATTATTATTTTATCAAATCGATACATTCTTTCGATGAGAAGCGAATCAGAAGACAATAAATCGAGTATGTTCTTCCCGCAACAGTATTTAAGATTTACTTTCGATTATATAAATAAGGAAGGTCGAATTTAGATTGTTATCTAGATTTAGAAACTTAGATAAAATAAACATCCAAGGCCATGGTAGTGGTCGAGAATTTTTGGAGATCTACAAATTTATCACCTTAGCCCTAAGCAAGTGATATTAAAGAATTGAACTTTTCTATATATGCAAACGCATGAAAAAGATCATCTTTGGAGGTCATCTGTGAGGCAAGTTTGATTTATTTTAACGTTTTCATGGTGAAAAATGTCTTATCGTAACTTGATTTTTTAATAAAAAAATTTTTTTTTTTAATTACTCAACTTTACGTCTCTGGGCCTTTAAATAATATCACGTATTACGAATAATAATAACGGTAATGGTAAACGTAGGATATTAATCGTTTTAATCATTCAAGAAATGAATTCAAGAAATTCAGTCAAGAAACTCAGTCAAGAAATTCATTCAAAAAATTAATTCAAGAAATTTATTCAAGAAATTTAAGTAATTCATTCAAGAAATTCATTCAAGAAATTAATCCAAGAAATTAATTCAAGAAATTCATTCAAAAAATTCATTAATTTTCAAAAATAAAGTTTCTTGAGAGTTACCGTAGTAAATATTGGCAAGTTCTTTATTGACGGTAAGAGAAAATTCATTAATTGGTCTGGATAAATTGTTTGAAGAATTATAGTTATTAATATTTTATCGAAAAGCCCAGAATTAACAACATATATCCGTAGTTCGTAACTTATTGTTAGTGATTTGAATATATCACGGATATTGGATGGTATTGATAGTAACAATACGCTGATGTTTTAGGTTCTTATTACTTTCGAATCATATGGTGGATAATTCATTCGAAACCTTGAAAAGAATGTAAGTAAGCATTTACGACTTGTTCCACTTTAAATTATTATTAGATATAGACGGCCTGTTGGTATATGAAAAAATCGATATAGACGACCTGTTGATATATGAAAAATCGATATAGACGACCTGTTGATATATGAAAAATCGATATAGGCGACCTGTTAGTTTATGAAAAATCGATATAGGCGACCTGTTGTTATATGAAAAATCGATATAGACAACCTATTGGTATATGAAAAATTGGTACGGTAATTTTTCAATTGGAGTTTAATTAATCAAAATAATGAAATTTCTAAGTGAATTTAATCAATAGAGAAGAGCTAGATACATAAATTGGATGTAACTGTTTTTTTTTTTTTTTTTTTTTTGAAGATTTCCTTAAGCTTCACAAAAAGAAAACGAGTTACGAAAAGACCAGAAAATTTAGAACTCGGTCACATGATTTATGTAGCCTCAAAGATCGTTCCATAGGTTTTATGAACATGGTGGAAAAAAACAAATTTCGAGTGCATAGATATTACGCATAGTGGAACTAGGAACGAGCAAGATACATATTGACAGGATTTGTTGTTTTCATATTTAATAATTTATTCATCTTAATTAGTTTCACGCATTTTTTTCCTTAGCGCGGCATCTTTCCTTCTATTTAAATCAAAAGAGTGAGAATCGATTCAAAAATTCTTTATTTTTGTTTTTTTTCTTTTAATTTTTTTCGGGTTTCCTTCGGTTTTTTTCCTTTTTTATTTATTTTTTTATTTATTTTCATTTTTTTTATCATTTTTTCGTTCTTTTTTTTTATTTTTTCGATTTTAATCCTTGACACGATCGTCACAATATTTATCTAACTCATTTTACAAAGTTATCAATTACATGTCGTTTTACATGAATGCCTATATATACTGATATGAGTCGGGCCTTCAATTATATTTTGTGTACAGTTAGTCATCTTGATACTAACTGTACACAAAATTAATTGAAAGCCCGATTCCAGGTTTTCTTTTAACGGCACTCATATGTACAATAGGGCCTTCACCGGGATTATCCTATTCTGTGTGTCTTTATTGATTTACCCAGCCCTTCGATTGGTGACCTTTATTTGTAAGGTTCATCGTTTGAAAAACTACGCCTTGGCATGTGATTGATCTACAATCGTGATCTTAACATTGTATCCTTCTGTTCTGATTCGAACCAGCGAGTTTGCGATTGGAGACCTGGGAGTAGAGGCTATTTTTGTGGCCCGGCCCGGCCCACATTTAATTTTAAAAAATTTTTGCCGGCCCGGCCCGCAAAATTTATTATAAAATTTTCAAAAATTTTTAGCCCGCCGGCCCGGCCCGCAAATTTTTGCGGGCCGGGCCGGGTCATGGGACCCCCTGGGGGTTTTTTTTTTTTGTTAAAAAAAAAAAAAAAAAACTGGTTCAATTAATTCAAATAATACAAATTTTTTAACATTAATTGATTATTAATTTTCCATATAGGCTTAACCGACGAAAATTTGCCCATGTTTTATGTTCGTTGATTGGCCAAATTATATTAGTACACCAGTTTTCCAATATGTAATTTATTATTTATCGGACTCAGTTCTGACGAGCGACATATATGAGCGTAATTAAATTTAATACATATCTTATATGCCTTGAATACGGTGAATAATAAATTATACATTTGAAAGCTTGAATTCTGGTTATTCTTTGGCTTTACTCACATTGTGGCTGTTTTCAAAGGATGTAATTAGCATTCTTCATTATATGCGTTTGAGATCAAAGAATCAGAGATTCATATTAGTGAAAATTAATTTTTACTTTTATGAACATTTAATTTTTTTTTGATTGCACTATTTTCATGACGTAGGATTTTTGCTAATATATACATCCCGATTTTTTGATTTTCTACAGTGCGGCTCGCTTCATTGACGATTACCATTCTACAAGCTGGTTTACAGACATCATTTACAGCTGTTCCCGAATTTGCTATTTCCTGTAAGCTCTTCGTTCTAGTCCTAAAAATGAAAACCTTTAGAATTATATGCTACTTTGCGATGTAATTAGGTTAAGACAGAAGTGGTTTCTAGAAATTTTAATATGTCCAAGAATTTATGAGGACAGCTCCGAGTGCCCGTTGTGAGTGAACTGAAGTGCCGATGGGGTGATTTCAGTGAATGATAAAGACCAATTAAATTCGAGGTATTTTTGCATTATTCTATTCAGACCTACCGAATAATTAATTGTTGGGCAATTAATTGAATTTTTTTTTTTGAACAATTAATTGATTGGCGGCACAGCCACAATGATTATGATAATTACAATTTTTACATTAGATTAATTATATACCATATATTCGTCGTCAAGATTTTAATTACTACGTATAAATATATGTGGTTTTTAAATTTTCGCTGTTTAAAAAATTGGGTCACACCAAGTACTATATGCAGCGCCCTACAGGTAAAGTAAATTGAATTTAATTGCAATTAATTGCAATTATTTCATTAATTAATTTGGTTTAATTAAATTTTATGATAATTTTAATTGATTGTAATTGTATATACGTGTGACAAGATCTAATTGCAATCAATTTTTCGGTAGGTCCGATTCTATTCCTTACATTGTGAGGGGATATCTTTGTCTGAACAATATGGATTATTCTTGCCAGAAATTTCGTATAAGGTACGAATCGTCAATGTCATCAAAGGATTCTCATATCGAATCAGATCGAATTGATTCACCGGGCCAGACCGATTGGATTGCATCACATAGAATACGATGAATATGGTGACGCAATTTCAATCTTCATTAACCTTATATAAAAAAAAAACGCCTATTATCCTTTTTTGGAAAGAGTTGCGACGCAGGTCCAAAGTTAATATTTGTCACACGTAATACCTATCACTACATCTTCTCGACTCGATTACTATCAACAATTAACTTTCAACTCATGAAATCAGGATCGATTTTACGTTTGCAAAAACTGTTTTAAATATTTGGATGAAAATCGATTTCAGCAACAGAAATTTGAATTTTATTATCTGCTCATTTTAAATTCTTGTCGTTGAGTGCGAAGACCATGTTTTTGGCATAGGAAATCTTGAAAATTCACAAATTGCCTATCTTTAATCGAATTAAAATTTTGGATGTATTGTATTAATTAGAGTTAGTTAGAGATAACTAAAGACTATAGGAATTAACAGGTTTTTTTTAATAATGCCAAGCCACTTAATAATTCATGCTTAATTTTTATTGGCTGAATAAATATACGCTTTGATTATATCTCCTGATTTTGTTAATTCTAAGAAACCGGAGCTTTATATATATAAAGTGCTCAGAAATCGGAGCTTTTATGTATAAAGTACTCACAAACCAATAGGTATATTTGTTGAAATCTTTAAGTGATTTGTTTACTTTAATTGACTAACGGCTTATTTTCCGTAAATCCAATAGGAAATTTGATGTAAATGGTGTAAATAGGGAAATTTGACCCCTACTATAGATCCTGTATATATATTGGTAAAGTAAGTGTCAAAAATCAGCTGATTTCTTGTTAATTATGATGAGGGTTACGTCTAAATTTTCGAACAATTGAAATCCAGACATTATTTATCATAGAGTTCCAATCCGAATTAATCCGTCATCCATTTATCCGACATGCTATATTCGGACATTCATGTTTTTAAATTGGTGGTTTAACCAGATTATCCAATGTAGGTAATCAACAATAACATTAGGGAAATTCTATTTTAATCCGCATGTAAATAGAACTTCCCTAATTTATATTATTGATTACCTTAGAATGTTTAATTGTCAAATGAATTTATATTGATTATTTTAAAACTTTTAGTGTCAGATGAATCCGAATAATTTATTGGATAATTCGGCTATTCATTCATTAATCTATTTTATCCAATTATCCATCAAATATTGGATATCTAATGGATAACCAGATACTCTAATATATCAGCATTGCTATGACACTAGTGATTCATCTAAGCTAAGGTAAGAATAGGAATAATAGATAAAAAAAATTAGCTATTTCTACATTTCTGGCTTATTAAACTGTGGATTTTATATTTTAGGATTTCATGATGAATCGATCTAAGGGTATCTAATAATAATTCTATACTTTATTTTTAATTAGTTACCAATATATGGCTTTACTTTTGTTAGCACGCTTACCCTATAAAGACAATTGATCTCCGGATTCCTGGACAAAGTATTAATAAAATAATAGGTATGTATGGTTGTGCAGGAGAATTGACATGACATATTACAACAGTATAACAAGTTACGACAGGTCTGTTTTACCACAATTATGTCGAAATTAATGGCAATTGCTCTGCATCACCAAGCAAATATAGTCCATGAAAACACCAGTGCTTTAACTAATATGAACTTAATAGAAATTAGGTGTCTCCGCATGTGCATTCCATGTGCACCCTATGTAGGAATTTTGCGAATTGCACTTCCCTAAGCAGACCTACCGATGAATAAAAAAAAAAATGGGCAGAATACGAAAGCAAGCCTTTTCAAAAAAAAAAAAAAAAATTTATTTTATTTTATTTTATTTTTTTTTTTAAATGATTCATTGGGAAATAAAAATCTTTATTTAAAAAACGCTTTTAACCGTTTAAACAGTAACAATTTTTGTTCGTCGAAAATATATAATATAGGATCTCTTCTACAGGATGAAATAGGAGATCAGGACCAGTTTTAACATGTGCCTTGTGAAGTCACTTTCCAAAACAAAACTATGCAATGCACATTTATAAGGCCATGCAAGGTGAATTTTTCGTTTGCCGACCCACTTTTTCAATTTTTTTTAAGGCCTAATTATGTCAATTCCCAATTCTTATTTTTGTTATTTATTTTTTCCATAAATTTATCGGTGCCATCTGATGGAGACCGGAATTTTCCGATAGGGCAAATAGAAAAAAATCTGATCGTTGACCCAATTTCCTGATTTCATGATATGTAAACGAAAAATTAATTTTACATGGCCTTAGATATCTATTAATTTACAATAGATTAAAAAAAAAAAAAAATCAGACAGCCGACTGGAATTTTGAAGCAAAACGAAAAATCAACTTTGTGTGACCTAATGCTTCACATATAACTGATTTCACCCCAATAACGTGAAGGACTTCAAGTTAACCAAGACAAAACGATCGATGAAATAACATTGCTTGGCCATTAACGGCATGGATTTTTTTAAACACGTGTATTCATAATATCAGGTTAGGAGTTGCACACGTTACGTTAAGAACGACGTATAACTTCAATATCAATCAAATTTGAGGTGATGATTTCTAATCAATATTTATTTGGTATTTCAGATATTATTAATTGATTTATTTTAACTTATGAATTTATGTAGTCGCTGTCGAGGAATTACGCTTAAGCCGGAAATCCTAATTTTCATAAGACGTGTGATTATATTATGATGATATTGAAATAATTAACGCCGGTATTGTGTTCGATGAAGAAATTTTTTGTTGATTTATTTTTTAGCACCTGTTTTTAGACTAACTAGAAAAAAATTTATAGATTGACAGGCTATAAGTTATGTGCCGTTTATATGCTGCTAAATGTTTTTTGCGTACGGCATGTATAGTTCATTTTAGCAACTGGTTGGCTGGCAGAAGTGATCAGCAAGAATTTAGCTTACAGTACATATGATACTACCACACGACGCTTCACTAAGGCACCCATTTAAGCATTAGGGTTAGTAAATTTTCCGATCACTTTCACCAGCAAATCAGATCGCTAAAGTGAACTATGTGTATTTATACTATACGCAAGACAATTTATATGGCGTATAAATTGTACATCACTAGTTGGGGTTGCTCTGAATTTAGTACGTCTATCCGACATACATTTCTTCGACAGAATGGTGACCAGCTCTGCTTTTGCCGATTATCCATTTCATTAGTTTATTATGGCTGTCGATTTTCTCTGAATCAATAAATTTGCCGACATCAAAACTGCTAATAATCGATATTAATAGTTCCAGTTCTGAGAGAGCGACTGTAATTCTCAGAGATATACACTTCTGGTGGCTATTTTGCTGACAAATCATAAGCAATTATAATATTTAAACATTGGAATTATGAATTTTTTAGTGAAGTAGCTATTGGTGAGATAGGCTGTCAAAAAAAGCGGCATCTTATTAGTTTGCAAACGATCATTCGATGGAAAGTTATTGAATTTAATAATACCTTACAGAATTCTCAT